TTTCTAATCCGACAGCCAGCGACTCAGTTCATACTTGGCGAACTCAATGGAAAGTCCTCCATTCTTCTTCTCTGACCCCTTCACCTGGAAGAGCTTCCTCTGGATTCCCTTTCTTTCCCCCGGAGGTAAATTCTGATATGTGGCCTTTACCTTACTCTTGTGTAGTTTTCTTAGAGACTCAGCTTGTCCCTACTTGCTGTTAGCTGTTAACTACCGTCAAGTCAGGGACTGCGTTTGTTCCTCTGTATTTTCCCAAGCTCTGAGAACAACTGGGCCTTGTCCCGCTAGGTGCACGGTAAATATTTGCAGATTTGGAATAATCGCCTGTTCTACACCGGGGCCTGGAAGAGGGAGGTGGGATGAGAAGCATTTGAAGTTGTGCAGATCCCCAGAGGCTAAGTCTTGGGTGGCCGTTCCCAGCGTTCGTGGCACAGCTCCCAGTGTCAAGTTCTGACTGTTTTACTGTGAGCCAGAGACGCCCAAGATGGGGTTGAGCGCTTAGGATCCCGTGGCGTGTTGCGTGTGAATTACCTCCTGCAGCCCTTCACTCTTCCTCCTGATCCATTCATAAGCCCTTCCCAACCACCCCCCCTCTTTCCAGCACTTGTAAATACAGTGTGTGCTTTATAGATTTACGACTACGCGGGAGCCCCCCGCAAAAGCTTCTTGACATCATGGATATAGGGGAAACATACGCTTTTTGCCTTTGCGTTGGAAGTCGAGACAAATAGCTCCGTTACAGCGCCAGTTATTAGGGAAAAACAATGGCAAAATTCACATAAAGGTGTTAATTTATTAAGTGTTAAGGGGTGATTACCTCGTAAGTTGTATAATAATCACAGTTAGAGAATCACTGTGTCAAATACCGGAAACTAACACTATTCTGTGTCAAGTGTAATTGAAAAAATAATTTAGTGAAAAAAAGTTAATGGGAAAAACAAGCTTCATTGAAAGATGAGGAGGCAGCTGACAAGAAAGAGACACCTAACCTATTTTCGAGGGGCAGGTAAGATATCTTAAAGGACGCTGAAAATTGTTGACCTTTTCTAAGGTCAGTTTTATTATTAGTTTTATTTTCCCTCACTTAATAGCAGTGACCTTCCACTCATCCATTATGGAGAGACGATTTGTATCAGTTGAGATTTAGGATTTTTGTTTGCCTATTCGAAATTAAGTAACGCGGAAAGCGGAAAGCGGTAAGGGCATAACCTGCAAATCCCATCCCCCTGCCCCCACCTCCCCAAATGAAGAAGAGAGGTAGTAGGAAGGACTTGAATCATGCCATTCCCCTGCCAACCACTAGTGGTCACTGTCGGCCCAGGAAAGCTTGGTTGCCGTCTTTCTGGAGAGTTCCTGGGCCCAAGAGGTGAGAGGAAGAGGCTGGGTTATAACTCGTTATTTGAACATATGGGGTGCTTTAAATGTGAAGTACCTGCATTTCATAGAATTTTGGAATTTATAACTTGAATTTTAAAGCGTTTAAATTTTCTTCAAGTAAATGTAAAGCTTTTGATTGGAAAACTCACTGATTTGGTCTTTCTTATCTTAACTTGCCATATTCTACCTCTACTTCATGCAGGAAAAATCCAGTTGGTATGGAGAGCAGGGGTTCCGTTTCTTTCGGTAAAGCTTCTGTCCAGGACTGATTGAATGAGTAGATGGAGTAGTAAGTTAGCTTCCTGGTGTGAATAAAAGACGTCTTTCTCGCTTTCTAGCTACAGTCTTTAAAGTCTTCTATTACGGATTCATTCCTTTGGGTTTTGCATTGCCCTTGCCTGGTTCTTGCTTTTAAACTGCTAATGCCTCATAGGAGAATTTTTGCATTAAGTCATTCACTCTCTAGCGGGAAAATTATTTTATCCCGAGACTTTAGCACCTGAGCTAGACAACGAACTCTGGATTCTGAAGAGTGGGAAAACGCAGGGCAGGAAGGTGAATCGGTAGGGAGGAATCAGGGGACGGTGCTAGTAAATGCAGCTTTTCAACTGTCTTCGCTTTTTTCTGGCTGCAGGTTATGCCTGTCATGGTGCTTGTTAAATATTTGAACGAATGAATGAATGGTGGAATGAATGAACACGGCTGTTTCACTGTGGACTTGGGCATCCCAAGGACAGAGTTTAGGGACATGGTATCTGGCCTCTGGAACTCTGGAAGTCCCAGGGCAAGAGAGGAAGTGCTGAATGGGTGTCATGCTTAGGTTTGACTTGCTTATAAATTCCCTCACCCCACCCCTCCCCCTGGTTTGGGGAGTGTTCGAACCCAGGTTATGGTCGGTGGAGGGACCCGAACATTCAGTGACAGCTTCCTCTTCCGTGACTAGAAATAGAGATGAGAAATGGGCTTCATCTCATTTGCCTCTCTGGTCAGTCAATAAGCCTCCCTGGAGTTCTGTGTCAAGAAGCGTTCTAAAGTCCCGAGGGACAAGCTTATGGTCAACATGCAGTGTCTGCCCGGGTTCAGGATGGGGAAGCAGCACCTCGTATATCAGAGTCTGACTTTGGAGGACTGATTTTGCCTTTTCTCCCTCTGTCTTTAGGGGCCCAGTGGGAGCCTGGCCTGGGAGCCAGGATGGCCCTCCGCAAAGCCTTGCTGACATGCCTGGGACTGTCTCTCTTCCTGTTGCCAGGGGCCCAGGCCCAGAACCATGCCCCACCTGGCTGCAGCCCGGACCTCAACCCCCTGTACTACAACCTGTGTGACCGCTCTGGGGCTTGGGGCATCGTCTTGGAGGCACTGGCTGGAGCGGGTATCGTCACCACATTTGTCCTCACCATCATCCTTGTGGCCAGCCTGCCTTTTGTGCAGGACACCAAGAAACGGAGCCTCCTGGGGACCCAGGTGTTTTTCCTGCTGGGAACCCTGGGCCTCTTCTGCCTCGTGTTTGCCTGCGTGGTGAAGCCTGACTTCTCCACCTGTGCCTCTCGGCGGTTCCTCTTTGGGGTCCTGTTCGCCATCTGTTTTTCCTGCCTGGTGGCCCACGCCTTCGCCCTCAACTTCCTGGCCCGGAAGAACCACGGGCCCCGGGGCTGGGTGCTCTTCTTCATGGCTCTGCTGCTGACCCTGGTGGAGGTGATCATCAACACGGAGTGGCTGATCATCACGCTGGTCCGGGGAGGAGGCGAGGACAGCCCTCTGGGCAACAGCAGTGCCAGCAGGGTGGCCGCGTCCCCGTGCGCCATCGCCAACATGGACTTCGTCATGGCGCTCATCTACGTCATGCTGCTGCTGCTGGGCGCCTTCACGGGGGCCTGGCCCATCCTGTGTGGCCGCTTCAAGCGCTGGCGTAAACACGGGGTCTTTGTGCTGCTCACCACGACCACCTCCATCGCCATCTGGGTGGTGTGGATTGTCATGTACACCTACGGCAACCAGCAGCACAACAGCCCCACCTGGGACGACCCCACGCTGGCCATTGCCCTCGCCGCCAATGCCTGGGCCTTTGTCCTCTTCTATGTCATCCCTGAGGTATCCCAGGTGACCAAGGCCAGCCCGGAGCAAAGCTACCAGGGGGACCTGTACCCCACCCGAGGCGTGGGCTACGAGACCATCTTGAAAGAGCAGAAGGGCCAGAGCATGTTTGTGGAGAACAAGGCATTTTCCATGGACGAGCCAGCCTCAGGTCGGTGCCCCACCCCCCACGCCCCTTCTTTTATTCTGCATCGTATAATGTAGGACGGGGGGCTGGTCTCCAGCAAAATGGGCCGATCTGGAGATTTATCGACAGCGTTCTGCCTTAAAAGCCTCTCCATTCCATTTTTTTTTTTTTAAAGATGTTTTTCTCTACCCGTGTAATTCATGAATGCATTTCACTGTAACGTGTCAAACGTTACAGAGAAAACAAAATTTCTCCCGTTTCCCCGATTCTACCCCGTTTTTTCCTGTTCACCCCTAGAACTGGCCACTGTTGATTGCCATTTTACCTCTACGTGCCTCAGCGCCCTCATTTGTAAAATGGGGTAATAACAGATCCTGCTCCGTAGGGTTCAGGTGGAGATTAGTTAGTGCATGTGCCTGGCACTTGGAAGCTGCTCTGGAATTGTTAGCTATTCGCTGTGTGTGATACTGTTATTTTACTGTTATTATCATTATCTTTCCAGAACTCGTTTTTCTATTAACATACATGTCCATAGTTGTCTTTAAAAATCTTCTCAGTTAATTTTTTTTCCTTTTCAATGAAAGCACTCATGCCGTATACTGATCTAACAAGCAGCACCCACTATCCAGGTGGCTTGTCCTCAGGCCCCTGCCCCGGCTCTTTGTTAATGGGACAGGCTTTCTTGGCAGAGCCCAGCATTCAGGGGTCCGGCTAGGGGTGTCCTAAGGATGGAAGAAGAGGGAAGGTGAGCGAAGCCTTTGCAGGCTGTGCCAAGCCCCACTTGGGAGCAGCTTGGGAGACAGGGGTGGCTGTTCTTCTAGAGACTTGGCCAGACAAGCTCCCAGCTCCCAAAGGAAGGAGTATATCCTCGCATTTGCAACCTGTGAGGACCACTAGCATTTATTGAGCACCTGCTGTGTGCCAGGCACCGTGCCTTTCCTGATGTGTTCTGTTGCACGTGTCTCGTTCTTAGCAGGCTGGCTGCAGCCCCTCTACCTAAAATCCAGGGGTGCAGACTCAGAACGCTGCCCCTGACCCCAGACTGCTGATAGGGATGTTTGGGGGCCTAGGACTTTACCTGCTTGATGTCAGGTTCTAGCCCTGGGTCCTCTGCCAGAGGTCAGAGTTAGAGGCAAGGAACGTTCCAGAATCAGAGAACTATCTCCCTTTCTCTTGTACAAACTGGGATCCTCATCTCACCTTTGAGGAGAGCAGTGACCCTTGTCCTGCCAGGCACTGGGTCTTTGATCTGCTCCCCAGGGTGGCCTCTGGCTTGCACAGAGTGGGGCCAGTGGGTGGACGTGGAGAGAGCGGGGCTTGCGGACCGTGCTGGGAGGAGCTTAGCTGCCCCCACCGCTGCTGGTCCCCGTGCATGTTTGTCAGGGCCACACAGTTCCCAGCCTTTGTCCTCTCCAGGCAAACACTTCTGGGGCTGTGAGGGTTTTTTTTTTTTTCCCTTAAATTTTTTTTTTTTTTCCAAATGGAAAAATCAATCCTGTGAGCCCGGTACTTAGAAGAAGCCCGATATAGTTGTGGTCCCTCAAGCCGCGGGGCCATCATCAGCCTGCAGGAGACAGACATTGGATGCGCCTGCGCGCTCCACGCCCTGGGGCCGGTCAGCCGCTTTGCTCCCTCGCCCTAGGAGCACTGGGGAGCAGGGCGGGGGCGGGGCGGATGGGGGGACTGCATCGGGAAACCGACCCACTCAAGTTCCTGGAGCTGAAAATAGTTTTGGAGACTTGCCCGGGGACTGCGGGACAGGATGTGCGGTGGGTGCCCCTGGGAAGCTCGGGTTGTAGGTGCTGGGGAGTCAGCACCCAGCTGTGTCCCCAAAGTCGTGAAGAGTCTTGGGCTGTGGGGTCTCTGCTGTTTCACCCCAGCACTTGGCGGCTGGCCTGCAGTGCCAGAGACCAGAGCTGGATGCTGGACATCTTGGAAGGCGGCCAAAGGCCCATGTGCCCCTCGTGGCCTCTGGCCCTGGAGGGCGGATGAGGATGTGAAGCTTGCTGACAGGAGCGTTTTTCTGAGCTGGCTGGGGGGTGGGGTGGGGGGGGCAGTCTAGGCTGCAAGAAAGCCCGAGGCAAAGACAAGCAGTGTGGTGCCCCCCGTGCATCTGAGCAAAGGGGTGCTGGGTTCTGGAGGGGCCCCTACACCTACAGCCTTGCCCCCGAGCCAGCCACCCTTGGCCAGGCTCTCTCCCTGGGCGGCCTCAGCCCCTCTTGCTTCTCCCTGCTCCCTGGGGCGCCTCACTTGAGCTCTGGGAAAGGGAGCTGAGAGCCCAGCTCTCAAACTGTTCCTGTGTTTCCTTGCAGCCAAGAGGCCGGTGTCACCGTACAGTGGGTACAATGGGCAGCTGCTGACCAGTGTGTACCAGCCCACGGAGATGGCCCTGATGCACAAAGGCCCGGTACGTGGGGTCCTCGGGCCCCCATGACCCTGCTGGGGCCACAGAGCCCAGCCTCAGTGGACGGGTGGAGAGGGTGGCAGAGCCAGTGCTCGGTGAGGTGGAGGGGGTAGGCAGAAAGCAGGTGTCTCCACGTGGGGCATCAGCCTCGGGGAGCCCAGAGCCACCACTCCTGATGCCCTTTTCCGGGAGTTGATGTATCCAGTGCCTTTAGTTTTACTGCGGTGGGACCTGCCTGCCCCATGTGACACCATGGGGTGTCACACTGACTGGGCTGCATGCTGTGGTGAATGCAGAACGGGCCCTTTGAGTTGGTGGCAGCTGCCAGCTTCACTCAGCAGACTAGGAAGGGACAGAGGAGGGCCTCAGCCAGGTAGGTGTCATTCTTTGTGGCCAAGGGGGACAGAGGACCAAGTGCCAGGTCTGGGTAGGTATTTACTCTTCAGCCACAGCTGCCCTGACAGGGCCTCGGCTCCCTGCCCCTGCCAGCAGAGAGCGGCTCTGGACCTCGCATTTCCCCTGGGCTCTGGGAAACAGACGCTCCATTAACCAAGGGAGGGGGTGGGAACGGGAGGACGATAGGTTAGATTCACTCACTCCATATATGTCCCTCCCTCCTCCCGGGCTGGCAGGCTCTGGGGAGAGAGGTCTGTGACCTGCCTTGGCAGGATGCTGGGAACAGGATGCAGGGAGGTCAGCAGGGTGGCGTTCTCATCCCCCTCCTCCCGTGAGCCACTAGGGCAGCGTGAAGCCAATGTCTCTGAAACTTCCAACCTCAGCCCTTCAGGCACCCTGAACCTGAACTTGAACCTGAACCTGCACCTGCACCTGCTACTGGCTGGCTTGTCGCAGGGAGGCAGGAAGGGCAAAGGAGTCTTTGAAACATGAGCAGAGTCCACCAGTCCCCAGCCACCTAGAGTGCCCCACCCTTGCTACCTCTCACTCGCTGGGATGGGGGGCGGGGGACGCTGGATTAAGGGGTACGTTATCAGTGGTTCTCAAAACGCCATCCCTAGACCTTCAGCATTACCGTCACCTGGGGTCTTGCTAACAATCCAGATCGGTGGGGCCAGTGGCATGATGGAGCCTGTCATCAGCATCTCTTGAGTGACATCATCTTACTACTTAGAATCTGCCATGATGGGTGTAACCACCTGCAAAAACCCGCAAATGCCATAGATCGGGGCTCCCTCCCCACCCAAGTTGTTAAACATTTACCTGCCACCCACTGGGGGTGGGTACAGCTTAACAAATAGTCCCCGAGACTCATGCACGTCACCCAGGTTTGAGAATGCCTGGCTAGACGGTCCAGGAGCTGCAGGGGGAGGGGCAGTCAGTCGGAAACCCCCGGGTCTGTAGGACCAAAGGCGGCTTGGGGCCCTGGAGCTGCAGGGGTTGATGGCAGCTTTCCTCAGGATAAGGCAGGTGGGGCCAGGAGGTCACCTTCCCTCCAGGGTGGGAGCTGGGACGGGAGCCTCGGGACCTTCTGCACCCCAGGACCTTCTGCACTCTGCAGCCATGTCTCCCCCACACAAGAACGGGATTGCTGCAGCTCTAACCTGGTTCCAGGAAGGGAGTTTGGGTTTTAAGTCTCCAAAACTTATCCTCACACCCAGAACCATTTGGATTTTAAGTCACAAATTAGTCGGACCAGCCAGCCTCCAGAATGAGAAGTGTGGGCACGTCCAGGGCCTGAGAGGAGCGTGTCCTCGGCCAGGCACACAGGCAGCTACTGTGGGTCTTGTGGTGGCTAGGTGTCTTGGAGGAAGGGAGCTTGGGAGCTCGGGACAGATGACCGCTCAGTGTGGCTCCCCTTCCGTTGGACTCCGAGGTCTGAGGAGCGGGAGGGGGCTGGAGAAGAGGCTCCATCTCCAAAGGCCAGGCTCTGAGTGAAGCCCCAGGATTGGCCTCATTTGCATGCCCAGAGGTCTGGCCCTCTGCTGGGTGAGATAAGGGGCTTGAGATCAGAGGTCAGCCCCTCCATTTCCAAGGGTGGCTGTCATCCATCCCAGCCTGACACTGGGGCCTGGCTGGGGTGGGGGAGGTGTGGGAGGACGGGGAAGGGGGAGCTGGCAGGCACAGCCCTGCAGGAAGCAGTGTGTTTGTGCATCCGCCCTGGCGGAACCTGGCTGTGAGACCGCCTGTTCTTTCTTCCAGTCCGAAGGAGCTTACGACGTCATCCTCCCACGGGCCACCGCCAACAGCCAGGTGATGGGCAGTGCCAACTCGACCCTGCGGGCTGAAGACATATATGCAGCCCAGAGCCACCAGGCGCCCACACCGCCGAAAGATGACAAGAATTCTCAGGTCTTTAGAAACCCCTACGTGTGGGACTGAGTCAGCGCCAGGAGGCGGCGGGCAGATGTGAGGAGGGCCCTCGGGACCTGGCCTGGGCGACGGGCCGCTCCCGTCTCCCCTCGCTGGCTCAGAGCGGCGTGCACCTCGGCTGCGAAGCCTTCTCTGTCAGCCAGTGTTGGGGTGGGTGACCCGGCTGCCCCCATCCACTCCTCAGTGTTTGTGGAGTCGGGGGACCAACCCCGGCTTCATGCCAGAGTCGCCTGCAGTGGTCACGCTCCAGCCAAATAGTGTTCTCCTTGGGGTGGTGGCCTTGTCAGTGCCGACGTCCTCCGGAGTCTTTGGGGAGAGATTCCCGAAACCTCGAGGTATTTCGCAGGCGCTTTCTGTCTTGGGTCCTGCTCCTCCGTGAGGAACAAGGTGCCTAATAAACACGTTTCTGCTTTATTAACTTCCTCTGGGAATGTCGTTTCTGAGCCGGGCTCCTGGGTTCCGATGATCGGCTCCTCCTTGGCCTGTGGGTGGTCCCATCCCCCTCCTCCCTCCACATCCAGCTCACACGAAAGCTGCTGAGGATTTTCCTTCCGTGCAGCGCCGTGGCTGACGCTTTACCCAGTGACGGAGTCTTCGGCTGAGCCTCTGTGTCCTTGTCATGCGTGATCAGAATACACTTCTGAGCCGGCTTCTGCCTAGGGTCTAGTCCAGAGTCTGAGCTTGTCTGAAACCAGGCAGCTTTCCTCTGGGACCCCCTCCACCGGCCATCTGTGGGGACAGAGCAGGACAGGCAGGCCCGCCAGCTGGCAGTTCAGCGGAAGGCGAGTGTTAAGAGAAGCTGGGGTAACTTCAACCCTTCTCAGTGGGAAGCGTGGTTCAGGGCAGGGGTCCCCAAACCCCGGGGCCACGGACCAGTACCCGTCCATGGCCTGTTAGGAACCGAGCTGCCCAGGGGAGGTGAGTGGCGGGCCAGAGAGTGAAGCTTCATCTGTGTTCGCAGCCGCTCCCCAGCGCCAGCATCACCGCCTCAGCTCCGCCTCAGATCCTCAGGCATGAGATTCTCAAAGGAGCACCGGTCCCTGGTGCCACAAAGGTTGGGGACCACGGCTTTAGGGGACGAGGTGGCCGATCACTCTGCTGCTCTTAGATCACTTTATGACCCGGGTTTACACAGGCAGAAAGGATCAGGCCAGGTTCGGGTTGGTTTCACTCTTGGGCGGGGGTTAAAATGCCCCTTTGCTCAAGGTAAAGCCTTTCCACAATAGGTCATGGTCATCCTCCTGGCTGCCCCAAAGGGTGGACAGGACAGTATTCTCCTTCCCAGATTCCAGGATCTCACAACCATACCGTTTTTAGTGTTAGATGGGTCTTTGGGGAAAGTTAGGGGTGTAGCTTTGCCACCCCCTCTTCTGGGTCAGCAAACTGGCCCAGAGAGCCCACGGAGCTTTTAGAAGTGGCCACACCAAGACTGGCCGGGTTTTCTCGAGACCCTGATTGCCAGTGGCCCTGGGACAACCAGCGGGCCCCAGTGGCCTGGGCATGGACGAGCAGCAGTATCCTGACCCTTGGACACTGGCTCGAGGCTTCGTGACGGGGCTGCCAAGCCTGCCCCTCCCAAGCTTGGGAATACTTCTCCCCCGCTGGCCAGAAGCTATTTTCTGACACCGGTTGTAGGACAGAAATATTTCTGTTGGAAGGGAAAGGTTGCTGGGAGGAAAAAATCAAACTTGGCCCAGACTTTTCCTTCTGCGTCACAGTGTACCCCCCTGGGGGAATCCAACACTTGTTTTAGAATGAACTAGAACTTGGGCCCTGAGCGGTAGGGTCTTCTTTGACTCTTGTTCTTTCTGGTTACTTTAGGCTCAGTCCCCACAAAATAAAACGAGATGGTAGACACCCTGTTCCCGGGAAAGCATGTCGTCCTGATGTCCTCTGTGTCCGGGCTGGGCAGGCCCCAGCACCTTTCCCGTCCTTGTCACTGGAGTTGGGAGGGCCCGGAGGCCACCGACCTGGAGCAGTGGACCGAGTGGGGGGGTCCTATGAAACCCCGAAGTGCACGGCTGGGGCTCTAGGGCCCCCCCTTCCTGCCCTGTTCAGCCTGTCCTGGTCCCCAAGTGACTGAGGCTACAAGGAACTGTCTGCGTACCAGCCTGCCTCCGTCCCCCCCGTCACAGCCCCTGTGTCCTCATGCTGTGGCTTTCCAGATGGCCATCCTCAGACGCTTGTGTCGTCACCTCTGTTTGGTGTCCAGCATCAGCTCGCCCTGCTCTGCACCTACGTGAATCAAGGTGAATCTCCTCCAGGAGTCTGGAGCCATGCTGTGGCAGAAGGTGGCCCTTGCCTTTCTCCCCTGGGCCTTCTGCCACCACCTGGACTGTGGAAGGCCACTGAGCCGGGGCAGAGCTCACTGGAGGCCCCGACACACACCACTCCTCGGGGCCAGGATCTGAGTCCCTTTGCGCCATGACCCCATGCCTTCCCTACCTTCGATGAACTGGGTCCCATCAAGACCCACAGTGGGGCTTGGGGCTGCATCCTCAGGGACCAGTTGAGAGTCCGGGACCACGTGGACTGGGGTCTAGGCCTCTTCCAGGACTGTCCTGTGGGACTTAGGGAGGCCCCTTAGATAAGTGACATCCAGGACTGAGCATCGTGTCATTTCCGGATGGACAGATGGATAGGCTTCTACCTCACCTTGGGCATCTCGATGTGCTGGCACTGCTCTGCTCACCCAGGCCATGGTCCAAGAGGGTCTTGCCGGCACCAAGGACACGGGGGACATCCGCGGGACCTGCGTGTTGCCGGCACCAAGGACGGAGGTGCACAACTCCAGACTTGTGGGAACATCTGTAGATTTGTCTCCCTGGCTTTGTTCTGCCCACTGGTACCAGACAGAGCTGGCTCATCTGAGGCGGGGGCCTCCCCAGGTGTGACCCTGGAGCTCGGTTCTCAGCCCAGCATCACCGTCACCTCTGGGTGCCAAGGTGAGGGCGAGGACCAGGGCAGTGGAGGTGAGTTAGGTTATGCCCAGCCTCACCCTATAGTCCCACAGCTCCAATGCCACCCTTCTGCCCCCAACAGCCTGTGCCTTTGTCACTGGAGTATTTCTCCAGAGCTAAATGGGTGACAGGCTTTGTGGACGGGATAAGGGCTGTACGCTCCCGCCCGCACTGTTACCCATCTGTCATGCCGGGCTGCTCGGTTCCCTCTGATGGAAGGGAGGGGGAGCTCTGTGCACCTCAGACTCTCTCGATCCAGGTTAGTGGCCCCAGGATCCCTTACGGTGAGTAAAGGCAGGCGCTCTCCTGCCTTTCGAGGTGCAAGTCCCATGTGAGTCCTTGCAGTGCCCAGTGGCCGTAGGAGCAGCCTGAGTGAATGTGGGTTTGTTCACAGTCCGGTCCTCGGGGGGCCTGCGGGTGAGGCTGGGGGAAGGGTGGGCTCCTAACAGGCGCAGGCCGGCCCGGGTTCTAGTGCACCCCACACCCCTCAGTCCTTGGCCAGGTCGAGACGGTAGAGAAGTGCCCCGGCTGGATCACAAACAAGCCGTGAATGGAAGAAAAGCAGAATAGGTCAGGACCTGTTGCAGGTAACACCTGGGTACATTCCACACCCGCTCTGTGAAACCATTGCTCAAAGCAGAGAAGTTTGGACTTGGCGACTGCTCGGCATTAAATGGCTTTTTCCTCCGTTTGTGAGGAATACCTGCCACGGATTCCCTGTGTGCTCATTAAGGATTTTTCTGGGCGTTATTAATAATATGTATTTTTAATTCTTACTCCTTGGCCTTCTAGACCAGGAAAGGCTGTTCGATTCCAGGTAACCTTTTTCTTGGTTGGGATTTATTCTAGGAGGGGAAACCAGGCCTCCTAAACCAGCCAAGCCCCAGACCAGTGCCCCTCCCCCCTTCAATACACAAGGCCTGGGGGCAAGCTGGAGGTGGGGCAGGAGGCAGGAGGCAGGGGACAGCCCTTACAGTCCTGTTGCTACCTGGCATGTTGGGGGCACCGTTGGGCGAAATACTGGGCTCGTGGGAAGATGTGCTGGGGCCAGAGGATGGTCAGTACCCCCCTGGGGCAGGAGGACCTGCCAAGTGACACACGCAGCATTTGGTTTATACGTGTGGCTGCCACACCACCCATTTAGGGCCCCTCGCAGCTCATATGGGAACAAGAGAGCTGGGAACAAGAGAAGGGTTAAGTGATTCGATTAAGTGATTCGGGTTAAGTGATTCGCTCATGGTCATGCAGCTGCTAAGAATCTGTCACCTCTGCAACCCATTCTCACCAAGCCTAGAACTTTCCTTAGCCCCAGGGCGGGGCATTTGTGGTCAGGCGAGGTGCTGGTGACCAGACTTTGTTTCCTGTCTGCTGCGTGAGTGCATCTGGGCTTTCCCGGAAGCTGCAGCCCCTACTCACAGCAGCCCATGAATTATTGAGCATCTGCACCAGCCCGGTAATGCTCTGACCTCATCCTCCGGCTCAGGGTGCGGCTCTGACCTTGATCTTGAAAGGATGCTGATGTAAGGATGCCGGGGCGGTGGGTTCCTCTGTGGGGTGCGGGTGGTTGAGGGAGGGGACACCACTACCTTCTGGAGGAGGTGGGGGCCAGACACCAACTGCCCTGGTGTCTGGAGGCAGGTCTGCAGAGGAGAGAACATGACCCAGAAGTCAGACAGCCACCGGGGCAGGTCTCGGCTCTTGCTTCCCATCTCTGTGACCTTGTGCAGCTCTCCTGGCCAGTCCTCAGTTTCCTCGTCTGCGAAATGGAAGTACCAACACCCCAAGTCCATATTTAGTGTTCTATCCCCTCAAGGTCACTCCTGAAAGTCATGGCCAAGGCGGAGCGTCCAGGAGCTGGCTGCTCTGTGTTCCCCGTGCAGACAGGCTGGTCTCTAGGCCAGCTCTCACCAGTTGCTTGCTTTCTGGAGGTGTCGCATCTTCCCGTTCCTCAGCTGTCCCTCATGAATCAGGTCCCCAGAGCGGGTGACGGGGCAGATTGCCGGGATTGGAGGAGGATGCTAAGAAGAGGGACGGCCCCTTGGCAGTGCCTTGACTGGTAGGGATTAACAGGGTAGGGTCCCCTGGGACACAGGAAGTCAAGAAACCAAGTTGAAGAGCTATGATTGAACTGCTTTTGGTCAGCAAATGCCGACTGAGTGCCCACTCTGGGTACATGATGAGCAAGAGCTGGTCTCTGACCTCTAGGGCTCACAGCCTAGCTCCTCCTCTGCCAGGTCAGGCCCCAAGCATCTCGGACCCGTGTCAGCATCAGGCAGGCAGATCCTGCTTCCAGCAGGCTCTCCTTCCCAGGTGCCACCTTTGCTATCAACAGGGATCCTCCGGTGGGACCTGGTTCTTCCCAGCTCGCTGACCTTGGGCAGCGCCCTGACGCTCCCTCTGTTTCCTCGTCTGCGAAATGGACCTCAAGCTTCCAGCTCCGCCTAAGCCCTGGAGTTGGGGCCCCTAGTAGTGGAGAGGGACCCCAAACTACAGGGCTGTTCTATGGGACCCCAAAGCACAGGGCTCCCCAGCGGTCTGACTCAAGGTCTGGAGCTGAGCTGGGCGGACGCAGCGCCACAGCCTGGCTGTGCCTGGGACGGACGCAGGGGCCCGGTGAGCACGGGGCCGGATCCAAGGCCTCTCGGCTCGCTTCTCCAGGCGTCTCCGAGCCGGAGGGGGATGG